GACACCCAGGCCAGCAGAAGTCTCCCTTCCAGGTCACCCTGCCCAGTCCTGCATTTCTGCAACAACAGGGGCAGCCTGAGGGGTCTAGGGCCAGGAGATGGGTCCCCTCCACCCTGAGAAGTAGTTAGGCAGGACCCAAGCACCCTCCCCTTTGAGGCTGAACTGCCAGAGGGGCCTGGGCCCAGCCCACACACTGGGCGGAATGTGTGCAGGCCCCGGTCTCTGTGGGTGTTCCGCTAGCTGGGGTTCCCGGTGCTCACCCCACACCTAAAACAAGCCAGAGCATCAGAGTCCCTGAAGCAGTCCCCTCCCAGCAGCCCAGCCCCCACCCCGGAGGCCCCAGAGCTCAGAGACCCTGGGCGGATTCTGAACAGCCCCGAGTCACGGTGGGTATAACTGGAACGACCACTGTGAGAAAAGCTGCGTCCAAAACTGTCCCGTGGCCACTGCCGGAGGCCCAGCCAGAGAGGGGAGCAGCCGCCCGAACCCATGTCCTGCCGGCTCCCGTGACCCCCGGCACCTGGAGCCCCACGGTGTCCCCACTGGATGGGAGGACAAGGGCCGGGGGCTCCGGCGGGTCAGGGCAGGGGCTTGATCATATCCTTCTGCCCTCACCCCAGTGCCCCGGGCTGGAGCTGACCCTTCTGACAAGTGTCCTCAGAGAGACGGGGATCAGCGGCTCCTCCCAATATCACCACCAGGCAGAACAGGCACAAACCCACATCCAGAGCCAACTCCAGGAGCAGAGACGCCCCAGTACCCTGGAGGACCCTGACGCTGATGACTCCGCACTGGAATCCGCCCAGGGTCCACCAGGACCAAAGACCCCGCCCCTGTCTCTGTCCCTCACTCAGGGCCTCCTGCAGGGCGAGCGCTTGGGAGCAGACTCGGGCTTAGGGGACACAACTGTGGGCCCGACCTGGAGCAGGACACAGACCCTTCCTTCCTGCCTTTGGGCAGCAAATACTCTGGGGTCTGGGCAGGGAGGAACTTCTGGAAGGTCGCCGAGTACAGAGCCCCCGGGCTGAGGTGGCCCCAGGAAGACCCCCGGGAGGTGGTCCAAGGCCCTTCCGCCCAGCTGGACCCCATCACCTCCCCAAGAGAGTGGTGTCATGCAAGGCAGGTCCTCTATGGAGCCCCCTTCAGATTCCTCCCAGGTCCCCACTGGGCCTCAGTCCCAGCTCTGGGAATGCAGCCGCCTCGGGCACACCAGGCCCAGCCCAGGCCCAGCCACCCTGCCGTGCCCAAGCTCATACCCTGGAGCAGAGCAGGGGGCGTCTGAGAGGGGCTGGGCTCCCCACCCCCCACCTGCACACAGCCACCCTCTGCAGGAGGGTCAGAGCCCCCATGGGGTATGGACTTAGGGTCTCACTCACGCGCCTCCCCACCTGGGTGAAGGGGCCTCATGCCCAGATCCCCACAGCAGCGCTAGTCACAAGTGGAGGCAGTGGTTCAGGTCCACCCTGACCTGGCCCCTCAGGCTCCTCCAGCCCCGGCTGCCCTGCTCTCCCTGGGAGGCTCCACCAGACCACAGGTCCACGGCACAGCCCACAGGAGCCGACCACACATGGCTCACAGGAAGAAGATAAGCTCCAGACCCCCAGGGCAGGGACCTGCCTTCCTACCACTGCTTCCTGCCTCAGACCTCCGCGCCCTCCCCCGTCCACTTACAGACAGGTCGGGAAGCTGTTCCCACACAGTCCAACCCCAAACTGGGACCATCTGGCACTCAGGTCACTACCATTTCCTTCTCTATTCACTCCCAGTGCCTCTGTGCTCCCTCCCTCCTCCCTCCTTCAGGGGAACACCCTGTGCAGCCCCTTCCTGCAGCCCACACCCTGGGGAGACTCACCCTGTACCCCACGCCCTGGGGAGACCCACCCTGCACCCCACGCCCTGGGGAGACCCGTCCTGCACCCCACATCCTGGGGAGATCCGCCCCTGCACCCCATGCCCTGGGGAGACCCGCCCTGCACCCCACACCCTGGGGAGACCCGCCCTGCACCCCATGCCCTGTGGAGACCTGCCCTGCACCCCATGCCCTGGGGAGATCTGACCATGCACCCCACATCCTGGGGAGACCCGTCCTGCACCCCACGCCCTGCGGAGACCCGACCCTGCACCCCACATCCTGGGGAGACCCGCCCTGCACCCCACATGCTGGGGAGACCTGACCCTGCCTCCAGCCCTTTCTACCCTGCTGCTCTTGCCGCCCACCCAGATAACCCTGGGGTCCCAACACTTCAGCCCACGCCCTGGGGAAACCTGACCCTGCCTCCAGCCCTTTCTACCCCACTGCTCTTGCCACCCACCCAGACAACCCTGGGGTCCTGTCCCTATAACCCTCACCCAAGTCTCTACCTAGACCCGTCTCCCTCCCTCTAGACACCCCTCCCAAGCCAACTATGCACCTGCAGGCCCACTCCTTTACTGCCAACACAGCCTCAGTTTCTCCTGCCTGTGCCCACCCCTTACCTCCTCCTGCAAACAACTCAAGCTCCTCCTCTCCTGGGGCCCCTGAGCCATGGCACTGACCCTGCACTACCCACCCACACACTGCCCATGCCCTCATCTTCCTCCTGGCCACTCCGGCCCCGCTCCCCTCTCAGGCCCGGCTATTGTATTTCCAGGACAAAAGCTCACCCAAGTCTTTGCCATGCAGGCCTGGGCCCTTGCCCTCACTGCCCATTTACAGGGCAGCCTCCTGTGCACCGAAGCAGGGAGCTCAGCCCTTCCACAGGCAGAAGGCACTGAAACAAATCGGCCTCCAACACCTTGACGCACGTCCGCCTGTGTCTGTCACCGCCCGCACCTGCAGGGAGGCTCGGCTCTCCCTTCAAAGACGAGGGATCCAGGCAGCAACATCACGGGAGAATGCAGGGCTCCCAGACATCCGGGTCCTCTCACAGGCCTCTCCTGGGAAGAGACCTGCAGCCACCACGGAACAGCCATGGAGGCCGCTGGATAGTAACTGAGTCAGTGACCGACCTGGAGGGCAGGGGAGCTGTGAGCCCGAGCCCAGACCGCAGGGACAGAGACCAGCCGCTGACATCCCGAGCCCCTCACTGGTGGCCCCACAACACCCTGTGGAAAAAGGACAGACCCACAGTCCTACCTGGAACAGGGCAGACACTGCCGAGTCCCCAGAACCAGCCCTGAGAAACACCAGGTAACGGCATCAGCGGGGGCTCCCGAGAAAGAGAGGAGGGGAGGTCTCCTCCACCAGCAAGCACTTGCCTTGACCAGAAACAGGGTCCACGCAACTCCCCCAGTACAAAGGAGGAGCCCCCTGTACAGCACTGGGCTCAGAGTCCTCTCCAAGGCACCCTGAGCTTTAGACAAAAAGCCCCTGGGAGGCACAGTCTCAGCAGGAGAGCCGGGCCAGAGCCAGAAAGAGGGGACTCGGTGACACCCGAAGGGACAGGAGGATTTTGTGGGGGCTCGTGTCACTGTGAGAATACTGTACTGGTAGTGGTTGCTATGCCCACAGTGACACAGCCCCAGTCCCAAAGCCCTGTGGCAAACGCACCTGCTTCTGGGGCTGAAGGGCTGGGGCAGCATCTGGGAAGTAGGACCTGGAGTGGCCATCAATGTCCCAAATGCCCCAGACTCCCCCCATACATCACCCAACCAGCCAGTGAGCAGAGTAAACAGAAAATGAGAGGCAGCTGGGAAGCTTGCACAGGCCCCAAGGAAAGAGCTTTGGCGGGTGTGCAAGAGGGGATGCAGGCAGAGCCTGAGCAGGGCCTTTTGCTGTTTCTGCTTTCCTGTGCAGATAATTCCATAAACCGGTGTTTGGGATCAATGGCTGGGAGTGAGCCCTGGAGGACAGTCTGTGGGAAGGGCAGAGGGAAGGAGGAGCAGCCTCTATCCTACACTGTCATCTTTTGAAAGTTTGCCCTGTGCCCACACTGCTGCATCATGGGATGCTTATCAGCTGGTGTAGACACAGCTGAAGAGAGAATCAGTGAGGTGAATTTGCAGAACAGATCTGAATAAATTCTCCTCAATGTGGAGCAGCACAGAAGCAAGCACACAGAAAGTGCCTGATGCCAGGGCAAAGTTCAGTGGGCACCTTCAGGCATTGCTGCTGGGCACAGACACTCTGAAAAGCACTGGCAGGAACTCCCTGTGACAAAGCAGAACCCTGCAGGCAATGCCAGCCCCAGAGCCCTCCCTGAGAGCCTCATGGGCAAAGATGTGCAGAACATCTGATTGTCATAGCTCCAAACTGAGAACGAAGCAAACGTCCATCTGAAGGAAAACAGGCAAATAAACAATGGCACTTTCATGCAATGCAAACTAGGACAGTGACAAGGAAAAGAGTAGAGAGTTAAGTGTGACTCTGTGGTTGAGTTCATGACAATGCTGAGTAATTGGAGTAACAAAGGAAACTCCAAAATATACTTTCAATATTATTTCTTCTAAATAAAATTTATACCCAGCAAAATGAACTATCTTCTTAAGGGATAAACTTTCCACTAGAAAAACTACAAGGAAAATCAAGAAAATGAGGATCACATAAACACAGTTGTGGTTACTTCCACTGGGCAAGGAAGAGGGTATGAACTGAGATTCACAGGGTTGGCAAGTCTCCTAACAAGAATAGAACAAATATATGACAGTACCTTGAAAACAGCAGTTAAACTTCTAAATCGCAAGAAGAGGAAAATGCACACAGCTGTGTTTAGAAAATTCTCACTCCAGCACTGTCCATAATAGCAAAGACATTAACGCAGCTTGGAGAAATAAACGATGGCACAGGCAATTGCACAATGATACAGACATATATTTAGTATATGAGTCATCAATGATATATCCCCGAAGAAACGACTTTAAAGAGAAAAGGCCTGATGTGTGGTAGCACTCACCTCCCTGGGCATTCCCGGACAGGCTGCAGGCTCACCGTGTGGCAGGGCAGCCCGGTACCTGCTGGCAGCTCCTGCGGCCTGTTGTGGAACAAGCACAGAGCTGTATCCCCCCAAGGACGTATACCGCCAAGGATGGCACAGTCGGTGCATTCTGGAGAGAAGCAACTCAGCCACACTCCCCCGCCAGAGCCTGAGAGGGACGCTCATGCACAGGGAGGCAGAGCCCAGCTCCTCCACAGCCAGCACCACCTGGGCAGTGGCTGCCATCTGGCAGGCACAGAGCGGGGGCTGGGAGGAGGGGCAGGGACACCAGAAAGGCTCGGCACCGAGGTAAACTACAGAAGCCTCACAAGTCCACCTGGCCTCCCCTGACCTGGACCTCACGTGGCTTGGGCCTCACCTGACATGGGCTTAAGCTGACCTTGGCCTCACCTGTCCTGGGCCTCACCTGGCTAGGACCTTACCTGGCCTGGACATCACCTGACCTGGGCCTCACTGACCTGGACCTCACCTGGCCTGGGATTCACCTTGCCTGGGGCCTCACTGGCCTGGACCTCACCTGGCCTGGGATTCACCTTGCCTGGGGCCTCACCTGCACATGCTCCAGGTCTGGCTGGAACCTGAGTAGCACTGAGGCTGCAGGGGTCCATCCAGGGTTGGGAAATGACTCTGGAACTCTCCTACATCTGACCTTTCTGGGTGGAGGCACCTGGTTCCCTGGGAACATAAAAAGCCCCAGAGCGATGCCTGTGTGACTTGTGGGCAATTTAGGAACCCGAAAGGACATGGCAACGGGGCGGGTAGCGACTGACGCAAGACTGAGGAGGAACCCCAGGACACAGGTGGCCACGGACACTGTCCACCTAAGCGAGGGGCAGACCCGAGTGTCCTCACAGCAGACCTGAGAGCGCTGGGCCCACAGCCTCCCCTCGGGGCCTTGCTGCCTCCTCAGGTCAGCCCTGGACATCCTGGGTTTCCCCAGGCCTGGGTGGGTTTGGAGTGAGGTCTGTGTCACTGTGGTACTGGAGTGATTATTATGACCACAGTGTCACGGAGTCCATCAAAAACCCATCCCTGGGAGCCTCCTGCCACAGCCCTCCCTGCGGGGGACCGCCGCGTGCCTTCGTCACAGGATGTTTTATCGGGGTCACAGCACCACAGGTGTGGTGGCTGCCAAAGCAGTACAAGACATGACCCAAACCCACAGGGCAGCAGGCATGACAGACAGACCCACGAGTGGCCATGCTAGGCTCCAGTCCACCAGCCCCAGAGACCAGGAAACAGATGGCCAGGTCACCCTAAAGGTCAGCCAGACCTGGCTGCGAGGGGTCCGCACCGCTGCCGCCCTCCAACACCGATCCAGATGGGGACAGAGTCGACCCCACAGCACCATCAGCAGCTGTCCGGCCAGCGGTCCTGGAAGCCCCTCCCTCAAGGCTGGGCCACATGTCTGGACCCTGAGAGACCCCCATGTCTGAGTACAACAGGAACGGGGGGTGGCCCTGTGCACTGTCCCTGCCCCGGTGGTCCCTGGCCTGTCTGGCCCTGAGGCCTGAGCCTCTCCTGGGTCATTTCCAACACAGAAGACATTCCCGGGGACAGCCGGAACTGGGCATCGCTCAGCCTGCCTGGCCGTCCTGAGTCCTGCTGGTTTCCAGATCTCACCGGGGAGGCCAACAGAGGACTCACCCCCACAGTCAGAGACAAAGAACCTTCCAGAATTCTGTGTCTCACTCACCAGTGGGCATCCTCTTCCAGAACAGTCCTTGGTGGCATCACAGCAGGAATCCACATCTGGATCGGGACAGCCCCCAGAACACAAGATGGCCCATGGGGACAGCTCTACAGTCCAGCCCTTCCCAGACCCCTAAAAGGCGTCCCACCCCCTGCACCTGCCCCAGGGCTCAAACTCCAGGAGGCCTGACTCCTACACACTCTCCTGACAGACGTCACCTCAGCCCCTCCTGGAGGGGACAGCAGCCCAGGAGGGTGAATCAGCTCCACCTACCCTGGATGGCAGGTGTGGAAGATTCAGAAAGGCCTGAGATCCCCAGGACGCAGCACCACGGTCAATGGGGGCCCCAGACGCCTGGACCAGGGCCTGTGTGGGAAAGGCCTGTGGCCACACTCAGGGGCTTTTTGTGAAGGACCCTCCTACTGTGTGAATACAGTAACTACCACAGTGATGAAACCAGAGACAAAAACTGGCCGGACACCCAGGGGCCATGCACACTCCTCGGCTCAGAGCTCTCCGGGACCACGATAGCCGGGCCCAACGGTCTGTGCCCAGACCCTCAGCCTCTAGGGACACTTGGGCCATCACAGCCCCTGGGTTGGTGCCCCGCACACCATGTACCCCCAAACAGGGGCTTCAGAGGACTCTGAGGTGACCTCACTGATAACAGATGTCCTGGCCCCTTTCCCTCCACCTGTAACAGACCCTGTCCCAAGAGCTGGCCTGGTTCCAACAGCCAATTCCTGGGGCCTGAAATTGCTATAGACACCAACCATCTTCCAGCACCTCCTGCCAATTGCCTGGATTCCCATCCTGGCTGGAATCAAGAGGACAGCGTCCCCCAGGCTCCCAACAGGCAGGACTCCCACACACCCTCCTCTGAGAGGCCACTGTGTTCTATAGGGACAAGTCCCAGACAGTCCCCGACACCTGCCACTACAGACACACCTGCCACTGATGTCCCCACCTGGCAAAGACCACTCATGGAGCCCCCAGCCCCAGGTACAGCCGTAGAGAGTCTCCGAGGCCCCTAAGAAGGAGCCCATGCCCAGTTCTGCCTGGACCCTCGGCTGGGCTGACAGGAGTGGACGCTGGAGCTGGGCCCGCACTGGGTCGCATAGGAGCTCACCGGTGAGGAGCACAGGAGAGCACATGCCGGGGGAGCACCCAGCCTCTTGCTGATCAGAGGCCCATCCCAGAGCCTAGGAGGCTGCAGACGCCTCTCCAGGGGGACCCTGTGCATGTCTGGTACCTGAGCAGCCCCCCACCTCCCCAGCCCTAGGGGCTCCTGGCACAGCTGTCTGGATCCTCCCCGTTCCCTGGGAAGCTCCTCCTGACAGCCCCACCTCCAGTTCCAGGTGTGGTTATTGTCAGGGGGTGTCAGGCTGTGGTGGATACAGCGGGTACAGTTACCACAGTGGTGCCGCCCATAGCAGCAACCAGGCCAACGAGACAGGCCCCTGCCGCGCAGCCCCAGGCCTCCAGCTCACCTGCTTCTCCTGGGGCTCTCAAGGCTGCCGCTGTCTGCCCTCTGGCCCTCTGTGGGGATGCTCCCTCAGTGGGAGGTCTGTGCTCCAGGGCAGGGATGACTGAGATAGAAACCAAAGGCTGGCGGGACAGGCAGCTTCCAGCCCTGAGAGGTGCAGGCAGCACCACGGAGCCAGAGCCACGGAGCCCCCAGTGTGGGCATGTGAGGGTGCTGTGCCCCTGGCAGGCCCTGCCCTGATGGGGAAGCCTGCCCGTCCCACAGCCCAGGTCCGCAGGGACAGCGGGCACAGAAGCTGCCAGGCTGTGCTCTATGATCCTCATCCCTCCAGCAGCATCCCCTCCACAGTGGGGAAACTGAGGCTTGGAGCACCACCCAACCCCCTGGAAACGAGGCTGTGAGCCCAGGCAGTGGGCCTGGAGCATTGTACCCAGCAGTACCTGGGTACAGGGATCAGCCAGAGATGCCAAACCCTGAGTGGCAGAAGGGTCCGACCCCACCCAGGCCACTTGATTAATCCCATCCCCCTACCCTGGAGACCTCTTCGAGAACCACCAGCAGCTCAGCTTCTCAGGGCCTCATCCCTGCAAGGAAGGTCAAGGGCTGGGCCTGCCAGAAACACAGCACCTCCCAGGCCGCGGCTAAGACAGGGTGGGCAGACGGCTGTGGACAGGACGCATTGCTGGGGCATCTGTCACTGTACCTTCTGGGTATTGGCTCCCACAGCACAGACCCTGCCAAAATCCCCACTGCCTCCCCTGCTGGGCTTGTCCTGGTCTCCTCCTGCTGTCCGAGGAGGCTGTTGACCTCCAGGATGGCTCCTGTCCCCAGTTCCAGGCCCAGAGCAGATCCCAGGCAGGCTGCAGGCTGGGAGGACACCCCCATCCTTGCTGCAGTTCAGTGCAGGTGCCCAGGGCAGGAAATGGCATGAACACAGGGATGACCGGGCCATCCCACACCTGAGTCCGCCCCTCCTGCTCTGCACCCCGCACTCCCCAGGCCAGTCCACAACGTCCGACAACCCCACACCACAGTCACTGCCTGGCGCTGCCCTGGGGAGGACCCCTCAGCCCCCACCCTGTCTGGAGGACTGGGGAGGACAGGACAGAGGCCCTCTCCTTACCGTTCCCCCACCTGGCTCCTGCCGGGACCCTCAGGGTGTGGACAGAAAGGATGCCTGCCTGGTTGACCTCCAGGAGCCGGGAACTTCTCTCCAGGGACCCCGGCCCGAGCGCCCCCTAACCCAGGACCCAGCCTGCCCCTACTCCCCTCTGCCCTCCTCATCTCCCCAAGGGAATCTGGAATCCCCAGGAAGCCATCCGGAAGGGCTGAGGGAGGAAGCGGGGCTGCTGCACCACTGTGCGGGAGGCTCTGTCTTCGTGAACCCAGGGAAATGCCAGCCTCCTGGAGGGTATGGTCCACCCTGCCAAGGGCTCCCACCATAGCAGGCTGCGGGGAAAGACCAGCGACGATGTGCAGGAGGGCTCAGGGCTCCACGGGTGCTCCTCCGTCCTCAGTGAACCCCCATCGCTGGTGACCCACTGACCCGCCCACCTCCAGGTCGTCCACACCTTCCTAAGCCCCACCTACACCAGAGCTGGTAGAGCCAGAGCAGACAGAGGCTGGGGTGCAGGGGGGCCGCCAGGGCAGCTTCAGGGAGGGAAGGATGGAGGGACGGGAGGTCAGTGAACATGGCCTCCTCCCCTGGGTCCAGGATCCTCCTATGGGACCCCTGGATCCCGCCTCCTCCAGGCTCTGGGAGGTCAGAGGGGGAGATTCTGTGCGGGACCCTCTCACAGTGGAATACCCCCCAGTGGCCCAGGCCAGACCCAAAAGCACCTCAGTGAGCTCTGCACTGCAGTGCCGGGCCTGGGCAGCCCCTCCCAGACAGGACAGACTCAGCACCCCGAGGAGGTCCTGCCAGGGGCAGCTCAGAGCCATGGAGGAGCAGGATATGGGGCCCCCAATACAAACACAGACGTCAGCTCCATCCAGGACCACCCAGCCCACGCCCTGAGAGGAACGCCTGTCTCCAGCCTCTGCAGGCCCGGAGGCAGCTGGCCTCTGCCTCTGACCCCTACTGCAGACACCAGACAGAGGAGCAGGCCTCCCAGAGCCAGGGTTGAGGGACACCCTCGTCAAGTCCAGACAAGACCAAGGGGCGCTGAGCTCAGCAAGGGAAGGCCTCCAAACAGACCAAGAGGTTTCTGAAGGTGTCTGTGTCACAGTGGGGTATAGCGGCAGCTGGAACCACAGTGACACTCGCCGGGCCAGAAACCCCATTCCAACTCAGCGGAACGCAGAGAGAGCAGGGAGGACAGGTTTAGGATCTGAGACCGCACCTGACACCCAGGCATCAGACGTCTCCCCTCAAGGGCACCACACACTGTCCTGCATTTCTGCAAGAACAGGGGCAGGCTGGGGGGAATCTAGGGCAAGGAGATGGGTCCCCTCTACCCCAAGGAGGAGCTGGCAGGGCCCAAGCACCCTCCCCATTGAGGCTGACCTGCCCAGAGGGGCCTGGGCCAACTGCACACACTGGGGCAGAATGTGTGCAGGACCCGGTCTCTGTGGGTGTCCAGCTAGCTGGGGCCCCCAGTGCTCACCCCACACCTAAAACAAGCCACAGCCTCCAGAGCCCACAAAGGAGACCCCACCCAGCAGCCCAGCCCCCACAGGAGGCCCCAAAGCTCAGGCCATCTGGTTGGATTCTGAACAGCCCCAAGTCACAGTGGGTATAACTGGAACTACCACTATGAGAAAAGTTGCGTCCAAAACTGTCCCATGACCACTGCCGGAGGCCCAGCCAGAGAGGGGAGCAGCCGCCCGAACCCACGTCCTGCCGGCTCCCGTGACCCCCGGCACCCGGAGCCCCACGGTGTCCCCACTGGATGGGAGGACAAGGGCCGGGGGCTCCGGCGGGTCGGGCAGGGGCTTGATCCCATCCTTCTGCCCTGGGCCCAGTGCCCCGGGCTGGAGTTGACCCTTCTGACAAGTGTCCTCAGAGACACGGGGATCATTGGCGCCTCCCAACATCAACCCCAGGCAGCCCAGGCACAAACCCACATCCAGAGCCGACTCCAGGAAGGGAGACGCCCCAATACCCTGGGGGACCCGACCCTGATGACTCCCGTCCCATCTCTGTCCTCACTCAGGGCCTGCTGCGGGGCCAGCACTTGGGAGCAGACTCGGGCTTAGGAGACACCACTGTGGCCCCAACCTCGAGCAGGTCACAGACCCTTCCTTCCTGCCCTGGTGCAGCACGGACTTTGGGGCCTGGGCCGGGAGGAACTTCTGGCAGGTCACCAAGCACAGAGCCCCCAGGCTGCGGTGGCCGCAGGAGGATCCCAAGGAGGTGGCCCACGCCCCTTCCTCCCAGCTGGACCCCATGTCCTCCCCAAGAGAGGGGTGTCATCCAAGGCAGGTCCTCCACGGAGCCCCCTTCAGGCTCCTCCCCGGACCCCACTGGGCCTCAGTCCCGGCTCTGGGAATGCAGCCACCTCGGGCACCCCAGGCAGCCCAGGCCCAGCCACCCTGCAGTGTCCAAGCACACACCCTGGAGCAGAGCAGGGTGTGTCTGGGAGGGTCTGTGCTCCCCACCCCCACCCCCACCTGCACACCCCACCCACCCCTGTCCAGTGGCTCTGCAGGGGGCACAAGCCACCATGGGGTACGGACTTAGGGTCTCACTCACGCGCCTCCCCTCCTCGGTAAAGGGGTCTCATGCCGAGATCCCCACAGCAGCCCTGGTCACAGGTGGAGGCAGTGGTTCAGGGCCGCCCTGACCTGGCCCCTCAGGTTCCTCCAGCCCCGGCTGCCCTGCTGTCCCTGGAGGCCTGGGCTCCACCAGACCACAGGTCCAGGGCACCACCCGCAGGTGCCGCCCACACACAGCTCACAGGAAGAAGAGAAGCCCCAGACCCCCAGGGCCGGGACCTGGTTACTACCCCGGCTTCCTGCCCCAGACCTCGGCGCCCTCCCCCTTCCACTTACACAGGCCAGGAAGCTGTTCCCACACAAACCGGGACCACCTGACACTCAGGTCACTGCCGTTTCCTTCTCCGTTTACTCCCAGTGCCTCTGTGCTCCCTCCCTCCTCCCTCCTTCGGGGGAACACCCTGTGTAGCCCCTTTCTGCAGCCCACACCCTGGGGAGACCCGACCCTGCACCCCACACCCTGGGGAGACCCGACCCTGCCCCCAGCCCTTTCTACCCCATTGCTCTTGCCGCCCACACAGACAACCCTGGGGTCCTGTCCCTGCAGCCCCCACCCTGGTCTCCACCCAGACCCCTGTCCCTCCCTCCAGACACCCCTACCAGGCCAACCCTGCACCTGCAGCCCTCCCCTCTTCTGCTGCAGAGCCTCAGTTTCTCCCGCCTGTGCCCATCACGTGCCTCCTCCTGCCCACAACTCAAGCTCTTCCTCTCCTGGGGCCCCTGAGCCATGGCACTGACCCTGCACTCCCACCCACACACTGCCCATGCCCTCACCTTCCACTGGCCACTCCGGCCCCGCTCCCCTCTCAGGCCCGGCTGTTGTATTTCCAGGACAAAGTCTCGCCCAAGTCTTTCCCATGCAGGCCTGGGCCCTTGCCCTCACTGCCCGGTTACAGGGCAGCCTCCTGTGCACAGAAGCAGGGAGCTCAGCCCTTCCACAGGCAGAAGGCACTGAAACAAATCGGCCTCCAGCGCCTTGACGCACGTCCGCCTGTGTCTGTCACCGCCTGCACCTGCAGGGAGGCTCGGCTCTCCCTTCAAAGACGAGGGATCCAGGCAGCAACATCACGGGAGAATGCAGGGCTCCCAGACATCCGGGTCCTCTCACAGGCCTCTCCTGGGAAGAGACCTGCAGCCACCCAGTCAACGGAGTCTAACACCAAAAAACATCCCTGGAGGTGGATGATACTAACGGAGTCACTGCCAGACCCGGAGGCCAATGGATACTAACGGAGTCACTGCCAGACCCAGAGGCAGGGGAGCTGTGAGCCCGAGCCCAGACCGACCGCAGGGACAGAGACCAGCCGCTGACATCCCGAGCCCCTCAGTGGTGGCCCCACAACACCCGTGTAAACAGGACAGACCCACAGTCCCAGCTGGACCAGGGCGGAGACTGCTGAGCCCCCACCACCAGTACCAAGAAACACCAGGTAACGGCATCAGCGGGGGCTCCTGCAGAACAGAGGAGGGGAGGTCTCCTCCAACAGCAAGCGCTTGCCTTGACCAGAAACAGGGTCCATGCAACTCTCCCAGGACAAAGGAGGAGCCCCCTGTACAACACTGGGCTCAGAGTCCTCTCCAAGACACACGAGTTTCAGACAAAAACCCCCTGGAATGCACAGTCTCAGCAGGAGAGCCGGGCCAGAGCCAGCAAGACGGGACTCGGTGACACCGCAGGGACAGGAGGATATTGTGGGGGCTCGTGTCACTGTGAGGATATTGTAGTGGTACTTACTGCTATGCCCACAGTGACACAGCCCCAGTCCCAAAGCCCTACTGCAAACGCACCCACTTCTGGGGCTGAGGGGCTGGGGGCAGCTTCTGGGAAGTAGGGTCTAGGAGTGTCCACAAATGTCCAAAATGCACCAGACTCCCCCATATATCACCCCCACCAGCCAGCGAGCAAACAGAAAATGAGAGGCAGCTGGGGAAGCTGGCACAGGCCCCAAGGAAAGAGCTTTGGTGGGTGTGCAAGAGGGGATGCAGGCAGAGCCTGAGCAGGGCCTTTTGCTGCTTCTGCTTTCCTGTGCAGATAACTGCATAAACTGGAGTTTGGGATCAATGACTGGGAGTGAGCCCAGGAGGACAGACTGTGGGAAGGGCAGGGGGAAGGAGGAGCAGCCGCTATCCTACGCTGTCATCATTCGACAGTTTGCCCTGTGCCTACACTGCTGCATCATGGGATGCTTAACAGCTGGTGTAGACACAGCTAAAGAGAGAATCAGTGAGGTGGATTTGCAG